CTTCCTAGTTCCTCTTTGCCCCCTATTTCGCACCTATTAACCGTCCAAATGTTGGTCAATTCTGTCCCTCCACATCAACTCAGCAGGACTTGGAAAATTTTGTCCAATTTCTCCTTACGGATGTTAGCTCTCGAGATCATTCAAGTATGACCTTAGACCTTCCTTGTATTCGACTGACCACCTCCACTGTGAGGTCTTCGCGTTATCTATTGAACAATCCAGCTACCAGGACTTGCATTCTTGCTGATCTTGGAATTACTCGAAGTACCCGTGTCCTGGTAGAACATGGTGCGCTTGATTCCTGTTTATTTTCCATTTTGATGTACTCCCCATAAAAGCACATTTTGTGATTGATTACAAGCACTTTGCAGGTGGTTTATTCTAAAGAAGTAGGGAAGAGATCTTCATACTCAGCTAGCCACCAACATCCCATTATTAAGATGACCATAGGACCTTATCTAACCAAATCTATCTCCACTTTCGCTCAGTCTCTGGCCCTTGTTTTCGATTGCGCGATGACAAATGGTGGTGTGTTGGTTTGTCAACATTTATTTATTTTAAATGACAGACTTTATGGCAGTTATCATTATCCCTTTAGCTAACTTTGGACTTCATAGAGAGGAGGAGGAGAAGAGGGAATATCAAAGTGTCAAAAAGTCGATAAGGGGGGGGGGAAGACAGAAGAGTGTTTCAAAGATGTAAAAGAGGCAGACATACACAAAGGCATAGAAAAGGTGAGGTGGGTACTGTGAAAGAAGTGGAGTGTGATGGTAGTTTGAAGTGAGAAGTCAAATGCCAGTTTTGTAGACGTTTTTTGCCACATGTGGAGAAGTCAACTACCAGTTAATAGACTTTGCCGTATGAATATACGTTGCCCAGGGTGCACCACGTGGAGGTAAGTCTATTGAAAAACGAATGCCGAGTGATAGAATTTTTGCCGTAAGAAAGTACGTTGCCCAGGGTGCACCACGTGGAGGTAAGTCTATCGTAGTTAACTGCCAGTTAATAGACTTTTTGCCGTATGAATATAACGAAAGCCGAGTGATAGACTTTTTTGCCGTAAGAAAATACGCTGCCCAGGGTGCACCACGTGGAGGTAAGTCTATCGCACACAAACTTCCGGTTAATAGACTTTTTACCGTATGAGTATACGTTTCCCAGGGTGCACCACGTGGAGGTAAGTCTATCGCACACCCACCAGGTTGCACCACGTGGAGGTAAGTCTATCGCACACCCCGGGTTCGCCAATATGCTTCGGATTGAAGATGGTCTTTGTTGAGTTGATAGCTTTTCTTTTGTGTGTGTGTGTGTCTTTGTAAACGGTGATGTATGCGTCTTAATTTACAAATGGTAATAAGTTAGAATAATTTGACAATTTTTGGAACTTGCTGCATCTAGGCGGAATATTTGTCAGGATTTGATGTTGCTCACTACATTTCGGTTAAATGTATCTTCTTTAAATTCTAATACTAACATCAACTTTAGAGAAATCAAGGCAAAGGTGTCCTATTTAAGCAGTAGAGCAGCTGTACCCTGATGTGTTTCGAAGCTGAGACCTCAAATGCTACCGACATGTGTGCGTTTGTTTCTTAACAAGCCTCATAGTAAGGTCTTACTTATTAATCAATATTTATTACTTCATAATAACTACTTTGTCGTCTTTTGGCTTTACCTTCACGCAGATTCTCAGGGGTGTGTGAGCATTCACCGGCTCTTTCCTTCTGGCGCTGTTGTTGATACTAGGAATAATATTGAAGATAATGATGGTTTTGTGGCTTTACCTTCTAATCCTATCCAACCTGCTTCGACCTTCCATCAAAGTAAGTCTGAATCGGTAAATACTTATTTTTCTATGTCACTTTGTTGCTCACGATCTCCCAAGATGAATAACAGCACAGAATTAAGCAAAGTTACTCGAATTTGCATAAACCAAAGACTCGATAATTGAGTAAATTTTTACAAATTTGCTTGCAATGCTCGTAATAACTAACAATAAAATCATTAATCTTTTTCATGCTATCCAATTACACTTTCCTCTTGGTTTTATCAATTCCTCCTCTCACTCTATACAAGGACTTTTCACTGGAAATTTATCGCCGAGGGGAGCGTATGGACCTCAAGGGTCCTCATCTGCTTCGCCCGTTCTCACTCTTCGGGAGTTGTGTTTTAATCGCCTGATGAAATCTATCCAGGTTATTTGCCGATTCGAAATGGGAGCGTATTGTAGCGATCATTTCAGCCCGGACAACCTAAATAGACTCAGAGTCCTTTCGAAGCAACTCGCTTTAGCCTCCCTACCAGTACAATTATGTGGTGAAATTATTGACAAATTGCGACGTAATTATCAACTGAATGCCA